CGCGAGATCGGAAGGCCTCGAGTGGGAACGTGTTAATATATACGAAATGTCGGAAATGATGAAGCAAGCGTGCTTCTACTCTTTACCGGCTTTGGGCCGGCCGAGGTGTAAGTAGTGTTTTTTTTACTGAAACACTACACAGTGACACTACACAGTGACACTACACAGTGAACGCTATGAATTAACTGAAACAGAATCGAAATCAGAATTTACTAATCGAAAATCAAATCGGCCAACAATAATCGTGAGTAATTCGAACCTCTATGAATCGTTACCCCCCTAGATCTTGGATCCCACCATGAGGATATCAAGGAAAGTTACTAGTAGGTAAATTCTTTTCTCTTCATTTCTCTTCTTTTCTCTTCTTGCAAAAGTGCATGCACATTGCTATGATCCTTTCATTAGGTTAAGGGAAATAGCAATAGCAAACTTGACATGCAAAATCATGTCCAGTCGGCCATTTTGTTTTTCTACCTGCCTCAAAACAGAGTATGCAACACTAGGGACAAATCGGATCCTGCACACCAGGTTTCAACATGATCCCTTCTGTTCAGTAGTTCCTGGGAAATAGTGATAACAAACTTGACAAGCAAAATCCAAGATAGCGGCCATTTTGTATGTCCGATCCAACTGAAATTAGAGCAGGCACAACTGGGGACCAACAAGAATATGCATACCAAGTTTCATCATGATTTCAGTATTATCTTCCAAGAAATAGCAATAACAAACTTTTCATGCAATATCCATATAAAATCAAAGATCCTGGTGGCCATATTCTGCCCGATCCATCTCAAATTGCAGCATGCACAACTAGGGACTAAGGGGATCATATATACTATGTTTCGTCATGATCCGTTTAGTAGTTCCTGAGAAACAGCGGTTACAAACTTGACATATAAAATCAAAGATAGCTGCCTCAAATCATAGTACGCACAACTACCGACCAAGGGGTTCTTGCATACCAAGTTTCCTCATGATCCCTTCAGCAGTTTCTGAGAAATAGCGATAACAAAAATTGTTTACGGACGGACGGACGCCGGACCACGGACGAAAGGCGATTTGGGCTAAAAATATACTTCAGTAAAATGAACCGGATTATATGGACCGGTGCTGTTTATTTATTTACACATCACAAACATTTATCATTGAGAAATGAAGTTCTTAGAGCGTTGACAAAGATTTTCTATAAAATGTAACAGTGACCTTGACGTTGATCTTGGCACCCTGAAATACAAACTCGTTCAAGGTATTCTCATACTTAACTAATATATGAGCATCGTAAAATATTTGTTACGTCCGAAACCGCTACTTTTTACAATTTCAAAACACAATAAAATACAAGGTTGTGGTGGATTCCTCATCACAAAATGATTGCGCATCCAGACCAATAAAGGAAAAGATAGTTCTACAATGACAAATGTAGAAAATATAGCTGTTTTATGTCACATCCCAGGACGCAAAAGGACACAAAAGATGGTTAATTTGGGAGTATATTTCTTTACCATCGGTACTTTGTAGTTAAATTCCTTCAAAATCATGTTAAATGTAAATGACATCTTGCAAATAATATTAATAACTCCCCTTTTGGGTCATCGATGAAGATTTATTTATGTAACAGGACAGCATTTTTGTAATTAACAAGGATTTTTCGATAATTGTAAATAGAAGGACATTTTTCTTTATGTTGCTTTTGATTAAGAAACAGTCAGTACAGATTTTAAATTTAATTTTGAATGATTTGTAATGGATGATTTTATTCAGTAGATGCAATTTTGGTATCCTGTGTTGCATCCCAGATATTTTCGTTTCTTCAAAATGGTTAAAAAAACAACTTTATCTGCACCGCCTGGGGCCAAGATATTGACCACCGGTCAGTAACCTTTACCTGCTAGCGTTTTACTAGTATTACTTAATAGGAAAAGATGCAATAAAGACACAAATCTTGTAGTTCATAATCGGAGTCCATGTTACATCACAGACACATTTGCAGAAATATGATAAACCTACAATATATTACTGTAGCTGACATAAACAAATGAATACTGAACTTGCATCATTTTCTCATTTTACTTTCACATCTATTCCATACGACTCAGCTGGCAAAGATGTAACGAAGATACCAACTTCGCATTTCAGAATCGGAGTCCATATTACATCCCCGATAATTATTGAATAAAAACCGTTGGCACATAGTAAAAGTTGCAGAATATTTCAAAACTCTACAGAGACAGAATATGTCAACATCACAAAATGTTCAAATTCACTGACAAAATATTGAATATATATATACGCGGAAAGATGCAACGAAGACACTAACATGATAAATAGTATTAGTTCAGAACTGGTGTCTATATTACATCTCAGAAATAACTGGCGATAATTAACCACGTGCATATTTACCAAAATGTTTCTCTGTAAATGCATGTTTCCTTTAAATTTCTTATTGTTTAGGCTTATGTGCGCCTGCAAACAAACATCTAGATCAATCAGAATTATAAGTAATTGGCTAGGAGGTAACAATGGACTTTAAACGGATCAACCAATGCAGTCGAAAATTGTCAAACTACTTTGCAGTAATTCGTCAGATGGGTGATCTCCAACTGTTATTTGGAAGTAAAATATATCATGTATTCAATGACTTGACATCACGGCTGTCATCTGTAAATACAGTGATTTGATGTAATAATAATTATTACAAATGCCCTGAATGCATATTAATGTGTGTTTATGTCAAATATGTGCATTTTATAATCATTTTCCAACGTCATTCATAATCCTCGTCCCAAATATTTCAGCATATCATGTATTGAAGATATATTATTATCCGTGAACAATACAGCATCCCCACTGTGAACACCATAAAATGGCATTGTGTCCCCGAAAATTTACAAGAAAATATCAAACTGTACCTTCAAAAATTCATAAATCTATAATTTTTAGTATTTCAACTTATTTAACTGATCTTTAATTTGGCAAACATGATTTGGCAAAATACTGGAAAAGAGCGGACGTAACAAAAATTGTATGACACCGATAGTTTGGTCAAAATCCGTTGAGAAATGAAGCCGCTAGAGTGATAACAAAAAGTGAACATACGTACGTACGTACGACCGAACGAATAAACGGAACGCTATATCCCCTCCACGACTGCGTCGCGAAGGGATAATAAAGTTGATAGTTTATAGTATATGGCAGGTTGTGATGCAGGTAGCAGTATATATACGTGGCAGTATATATAGGTGGCACCAGGCAGTGTATGCAGGTGGCATATTCATGCAATTTCCAAGATGTAAAATTTATTTCTGACGCTGACAGTAACCCCGTGATGGAGAGCGCTGATGTCGCAAGTGTGTGTCACAGTTCCTCAATTGTGTTTGTGACAAGTCCTTATTTGCAAGTGTGTGTCACAGTTCCTTAATTGTGTTTGTGACAAGTCCTTATTTGCATGTGTGTGTCACAGTTCCTCGATTGTGTTTGTGACAAGTCCTTATTTGCAAGTGTGTGTCATAGTTCCTCATATGTGTTTGTGACAAGTCCTTATTTGCAAGTGTGTGTCACAGTTCCTCATTTGTGTTTGTGACAAGTCATTATTTGCAAGTGTTTGTCACAGTTCCTCAATTGTGTTTGTGACAAGTCCTTATTTGCAAGTGTGTCACAGTTCCTCAATTGTGTTTGGGACAAGTCTTTATTTGCAAGTGTCACAGTTCCTCAATTGTGTTTGTGACAAGTCCTTATTTGCATGTGTGAGTCAACGTTTCCTCAATTGTGTTTGTGACAAGTCCTTATTTGCATGTGTGTGTCACAGTTCCTCAATTGTGTTTGTGACAAGTCCTTATTTGCAAGTGTGTGTCACAGTTCCTCAATTGCGTTTGTGACCAAGTCCATATTTGCATGTGTGAGTCAACGTTTCCTCAATTGTGTTTGTGACAAGTCCTTATTTGCAAGTGTGTGTCACAGGTCCCTAATTGTGTTTGTGACAAGTCCTTATTTGCAAGTGTGTGTCACAGTTCCTCAATTGTGTTTGTTACAAGTCCTTATTTGCAAGTGTGTGTAACAGTTCCTCAATTGTGTTTGTGACAAGGCCTTATTTGCAAGTGTGTGTCACAGTCCCTTAATTGTGTTTGTGACAAGTACTTATTTGCAAGTGTGTGTCACAGTCCCTTAATTGAGTTTGTGACAAGTCCTTATTTGCAAGTGTGTGTCACAGTTCCTCATTTGTGTCTGTGACTAGTGCTGGAACGGTTAGCAAAACTTCGGATTTCTGCTCACTCGTACGCTTAGATCGAGATACCAAGATGTAGATGCATGATCACGATGGCCTAGTTTTCATTCGAGACAAACTCAGATTATGAAATGATACATTGTTTACGTAATGCATAATATGCTCTACAAAATAATACTGCTACAATGTACAGAAAGTAAGCAAACAGTACATTTTAAGAGTGTATGTGTAGGTTTATACTCATCGAGCTGAGGTGTGGGTTCGGCGATTTCAATAGAGGAGATGGGGTCTTGCCGTGCAGGACATTGATGATGGTTATCGGATAATTTAAAAGCTAACTGGATAGCACCATCAGGAAACACCAACCGAACCGTGAATAGGATATCCGGTTACCCGTTCTATCGCTACCTGTGACAAGTCCTCTAGTGTAGGCGTGATACGAACATAAATTAATCTACTGTTTGCTTATAATATCCAATTTCAAAATTTAAAGCTTTAGTCTATATATAGCTACCCACTCCATAAATATGATGATGCAATTTTTGTATTTAAATACCAACTCACAAAATCCAAGTTTCAAAGGGTCATTATAACTCAAAATGGGAGTATGTGCTGAAACTAATGCTCGATCTGTAACCCTTTATGGAAAGCCTAAAACTAATTCTCAGTTCAAGTGAGAAACTAAATTAGGCCAAACCCTAAAAAGGATATCTTTGTTTTAATAAAAACAATCTCCAACTAAAACTTTTAGCTAAAGTTCTCAAGTTAAAGCTTCAGCCTATATATAGCTACCCACTCCATGAAGCTGAAAAAAGTTGTATAGTGTTAAATAAGTGCTCCTACCACAAGTGGTCGTAGATGGAGCAGCCATAGTTGTTGGGGTAAGTGTAGTCATGGGAGCAGCCCTAGTCATAGCTGGAGCCGCCATAGTTGTTGGGGTAGGTGTAGTCAGGGGAGCAGCACTAGCAATAGCTGGAGCAGCCACAGTTGTTGGGGAAAGTGTAGTCATGGGACCAGCAATAGTTGTTGGGGTAGGTGTAGTCAGGGGAGCAGCCCTTGTTATGGCTGGAGCAGCCATAGTTTTTGGGGTAAGTGTAGTGGTGGGAGCAGCACTAGTAATAGCTGGAGCAGCCCTAGTTGTTGGGGTAAGAGTAGTCATGGGACCAGCAATAGTCATAGCTGGAGCAGCAATAGTAGTTGGGGTAAGTGTAGTAATGGGAGCAGAACTAGCCATAGCTGGGGCAGCCATAGTTGTTGGGTTAAGTGTAGTCATGGCAGCAGCACTAGTCATACCTGGAGCAGCAATAGTTGTTGGACTAAGTGTAGTCATGGAAGCAGCTCTAGTCTTAGCTGGAGCAGCAATAGTTGTTGGGGGAAGTGTCGTCATGGGAGCAGCACTAGCAATAGCTGGAGCAGCCACAGTTGTTGGGGAAAGTGTAGTCATGGGTGCAGCACTAGTCATAGCTGGGGCAGCCATAGTTGTTGGGGTAGGTGTAGTCAGGGGAGCAGCACTAGTCATAGCGGGCGCAGCCATAGTTGTGGGGGTAAGTGTAGTCGTGGGACCAGCACTAGTCATAGCGGGCGCAGCCATAGTTGTGGGGGTAAGTGTAGTCATGGGAGCAGTACTAGTCATAGCTGGGGCAGCCACAGTTGTTGGGGTAAGGGTAGTCATGGGAGAAGCACTAGCCATAGCGGGGCCAGCCATAGTTGTTGGGGGAAGTGTCGTCATGGGAGCAGCAGTAGTCATAGCTGGAGCATCAATAGATGTTGGGGGAAGTGTAGTCATGGGACCAGCAATAGTTGTTGGACTAAGTGTAGTCATGGCAGCAGCACTAGTCATACCTGGAGCAGCAATAGTAGTTGGGGTAAGTGTAGTGGTGGGAGCAGCACTAGGCATAGCTAGAGCAGCAATATATGTGGGGGTAAGTGTAGTCATGGGAGCAGCACTAGCCATAGCTGTGGCAGCAGCAGTAGCCGTGGAAGATGCCACAGTCTTAGTTTTCGGGGCAGCCGTGGTTTTAGAAGCAGCCATTGTCTCCACTGCAAAATAAAAAATGTTTAATCAATTTAATGACATTTTCCATTGAGTTGCAATTTCCCATACATAACTTTCAGGAAATTAAAATCAACTTACCAGCACAAAATTTGCCTTGACATGTATAACTGATCAGCACAAATTCTGTATATTAATGAGCAAGATGTATTTTTTATGTATTTAAACACTTACTCCCAAGATCTAAGTTTTGATGTATCATTAACTCAAGGAATTTGTGAATTAAATAGCTTCTGTTTATAGAACTTCATACAACATTATGGTACTGTAAAATGAAAGTAAGGGTGAAACAATAGAATGAAAGTATTGAAATTTTCAATATTTTCTTGTTCATGTTGAAATGTAAGTGTTTTCTTCAATATGTATTGAAATTACATTTTCTGAAATACATAACTAGAGTAATATTTTATTAATGAATGGACTGTGGAATGTCTAATATATTTTTCTGGAAAACAATGTTTCTTGAATTTATAAAATCTGGTGCACATTTTTTTCAATTATGGGACAAGACGTGTAATAATTTTACCTCTTCTATTTTTCAAAAACTAAACACAATAAATATTCAATACATATTGAATTGAAGCACTGCATGGTGTATTATTGACCCCTACTTAAAGGCAACAAGAAGTTAGCAGCAACCAACACATTAGAAACAAGAAATATACACAATCTAACATGACATGAGAACCACCTGGCTTTAGTTCAATGATTATAAAACTATAAACTTTATTTATTTTACATTGATCATGTAACAAGTTAATAACTTATATCAATCTCTTTCGATGGCACGGATCTTGGCGAGAGAAGGGTTATTGCTGTGAGAGGAAACCAGAGTACCCGGAGAAAACCCACGGTGTCGAATAGGTAACCCAAACCTTCTCAAGTGCGACGTCGGGAATTAAACCCAGGCCGTATTAGTGAGAGGCGAGTGCACCATCCACTCCGCCATTCGGCCACCCAAGGATTATGATCGATTTGTTTACAATTATAAATTAAATATCCAGGTCTCAGTTTCATGAACGTTCCTTAGCTAAGTAAGGAGCTTCCTTAATTAAAGCAATGCATTTCCAAAGGGGAAATATAAGTTAAGGAGCTCTTAATGTTAAACTAAGGAACCTTTGAGAAAATGGGGATAGTAAGATTTACAACTGTTTGGGCTACAAAATTATATTATTTAACAAAATAAATGGCTTTAGGACTTGAAAAATTCACAGAAAGGCAGCTTTTAACCAGTGAAACCAACTATTGGATTGCACTCCACACATCCATTTGTCACAACTTAGTCCAAAGCATAAATTATATTTCTTATACTAACTTAGGAACACCAAACCTGGTATGTTGAAAAGGCAGAGTGTTGCATACTGAAACAGGTGACTATATATTTGACTCTGACCTCATTAAACGGAAAAACATGTTTGGAGCCTATTTTCCATATTATAATAACTAGATACATCAAACCTGGCTGTTTGAAGATACATCTTGAGATGGCGGAGTGTTGTGAACTGAAAGTAGGTCATCGTGACCTACTGTAAGCCATGTTAATTTCAAATTTTAGATAAATCTTAGGAGATACATTTATGACGGGGATAATTTGTTTTTGCGTAAATACTATAGCTTACTACACCCAAAATAGGGCCAATTCAAAACTGGGTGAATTTGTTTTAAAAGGTTTTTTAGGCAAAAATGTATAAGGGTAAAAATAATACGATTTACAGTATGTTTATTTTTTTACCTTTGACTTGAGACGAAAAAAAATAAGCTTGTCTAAAACATACGTCTCTGCTATACATAATACCCGTCTCGAGACAGCAGAGTGCACGTGTCACATGCAGAAATTTGGTAATATTGATGTACATATTGACCTTTGACCTTAATATGAAGCCTAACACTGTACCCATATTATAATGCCTAAGAATGTGGATGAGGTTGCAATTGGAGATAGAAGCTCACTGACATCCGAATCTCACATCCGGCTTTTGTGAAGGTTTATAATCTGTCAACATTTCCGTTTGTGTTGATGCCTTCCATTTTGGTGACTCTTGATTTTGATTAATGTCTTATGTGTTGACACTGGCATATTTTTTTTATATATTTACTTTAATAATTTAACAATTTAAAGAAAGCATCATTTGAATTTTCCATCACATAAATCACAATAGTGTAGTAAATTCTTTATGCTTATCATCAATACCAATTTTGACAGGCAGTGACTCAAACTCGTCATCAATATGGTAGGTGCATTTTCAAAGTTCATTGTTTAAAATATTCTGTTGATGTCAATGAAAAGCACAACTTATACATAATTTCATATTTTATATCATAATTCATAATACACTATTGATGTCAAGATTTCATTAGAGCGGTGTCGAGGGTGTTCGGACGGCGGATCTGTCCGGACACTATTTTAATTAATCAGTTTACACATATAATACGTGGCTATCGTGACATATACTGTACTTTAAAAGTTACTTTCCAACTCCTTTTTTAAAATGAGAAAAAAGAACACATTTTATTTGGACAATAATTTACTTAAAACAGGCTGTTTATAAAACGTCATGGTATTTACCCTTTTGCTTACGCATATGCCAACATTAGTATAATGCATTCATAAGCCCACAATTTCTTAAATATTGACATTAAACAAAAAAATCCTGTGAAATTTGGAGCTCAAACAGAATGTTATTTTTATTCTGAACCGAGGTTGTTTTTTTGGGTGCGTTCGATTCCCTATACTAAACTCTGAAACAAACGTCATGTAATCATGGCATGTCGGGGCTGTTCGGACACTGCATTTGCATGTGTAATGAAAATATGCAATTGACCAATATTAGTGAACATATAATAATGATAATATGTGGTTCCAAATAATAAAGAATGCATTTAGTCATCACTCGCACCCTCATAAAACATCATCATGAGAAATTAAGTTGGTGATCAGAATTAAAAGCAAAAGTTTGAAATCCAGTTGCGTGTTTAGGTGTTAATTGACACTATTGAGCTAATTTATAATTGCATGCGTAATGAATACACAAATGTGATGACAACATTTTTTATGTAAATTTAAAAATATGTATAATCTCATTGTCAGAAGAATGTTGGATATCAAAATGGATTTATTATGTATTGCCATTTATCATGTTTGAATTATATATTTATATTATTGAAAGTTATTTACACACTTAATTGGAAAAAACAAATTAGACAGGTATCCGATGAGCCTCGATTACCTGTCCGAACACTGCCGATGGTGTCCGATCAGCCCCGCAAAACATTTAATCGAACTCGCCCATATATCCCTCGATTACGTCAGCAAAACAAGCTAATCTCTTCCGGTTATCTGCATCATAATTCGATTTAGCAAATTGACAGATTTGCAGACCCAACGAGTGTTTGATTCACTCAGAAAACATATTTTTCGCTCAAGTGTCGAACAACCCCGACACTATTTTCTGACTTTAAAGGAATGGTACATACTGATATTACGTTTAATTAATTGCAATATACTTGGAATGTGGTTTTCAGAAGCAGTATGAGTCAGGTAGATGGCTTTAACTTTACATTCAGATCTTAATTTATATATCTATAAAGATTGTCACTAAGTTCTGTTTGTAAAAATCTGTGAAATTGCTAATATGAGCATAAGTTGAACATGTCGTTGACCAACACCTGACAATGGTCAGTAAGAACATTAAAAAGAAATGTAAGGATGGAACATTGTAAAATGTCAATGTTATTAAAAATATTAAAATCCTGAAGTTTACCTCCTCGTTTTCGCTGAAATCAAGTTTGTAGTGGTGTTAACATTCTCACTAGACAAACGAAAAGGTTGGGAATTAATCCTATATTTAAATGCTGTTCGTATACATTTTTATTTGCAGAGTTGCCAAACATTAGCTGGTGACTTCCCCTGAAAAAAATGCATTCTCTTTCATTGCCTTCTTCTAAGAAATGAGTGATCCATAAACATTTACCAACCAGCATGGTAATCCTGCTATGTAACCCATGCAAACTCGGTTGCAGTTGGCAGTCACCAGACCATGAACTGCCAACCAACTATGCAACCGCAGAAGAATATAAATGAACGTTCTAGACAATGACTGCCATGTTGCTTTTCCTTCCAAGCGAAGCCATAAAACTTGTTCTGTTGTAAAAGTGTTAACATACATACGATCAATATCTTGTATACAAATATTTATCCCAAGCCACGGTTGAATCTGGTAAAGCAAGGACGTTGCATCATGACATAATGCAGTCTGTACAAAAAGCTCTACATTTGTTTTTACTGGCCCGTCCATACTATGACATTTGAAAGAATTTACTGAATTTCACTGGCCCTACAAAAAATTCACTGGCCTCTGGCTCCGGACCCGGGGAGTGGTTAATTTTGCAGACTGCAGAAAAACTTGCAGATGTTAAACTGAGTCAATATGGCTACCTTATGAACACTGGGAGATGACGTCGCAATAGACCGGAAGCATTCGACTTTTTGGCACATTTTCTTTTAGAAATTGTCTATTACAGTGCGGCAAAAACGCAAACAACTGTATTGGCATTATTTAAATGGTAAATATAAGTATCGAACTGCTTTCAGATCTCATTCATGGTCTATATGAATGCCAACTGGAAATTCAATATGAAGTACTTCATTGTATTTCCCTTCGTCCAGTTGGCATTCATATTGACTGAATGCCAACTGAAAGCACTTCAATGCTTAAAGAGACATTTTCCTATAAACAATGTGATGTATTCTGTATACCTCTCTCATGGACAAATCTGTATGTGTTAGGTTTGCTCGGAGTTTAGTAATCCACACATACACTTTTAAAGTTGCTGCGAGCTCTGCCTGGTGTTTTTCTCTGTAAGCACTTATATGACAACAGTTTATCAGTCTCAGGGACACTTGTCATTATTACAAACATGAATACAGATCTTGGTCACATGAGGAAAGCTAGCATGTTAAAAGTTGGGTAACAAAATAG